CCAGGCTGGCTTTGGATCCCCTAATGTAGCCAAGGATGACTTTAAACTCCTAATTTTCTTGCTTTCACCTTCTTAGTACTGGGATTATAGGATTGTCACCATGTCTGGTTCATTCTTTGTGAGAATCACACGGCATCATGTTTATTTGCATATTTGGTTTCTGAGTTCCCTGACCCCAGTATAGGCTGACACTGTGTATGTTCATAGAGAGATCATCAGTATTTACAGCAGTACTGTACAAGGCAAAGACTTCTGAACGTTATGCCCATTTCAGAAAGACCTCACCTGCAGCCAGAGGCTGAGCCCTCATGGGATGCTTGGCAGGCTATTTTCTTGAGTGCAGAAATGAATAGGCCTATGGTAAAATCATTTGTCCCTTTGTCTTGAGATACAGTGGGACCAGTTTTTCCCCAACTTGTCTGTGCACAGAGAACAGAGGGTTCTTAAACAGAGGAGCCTTTGTACAAGGGTTTGCAGATGGTAGCTTCTGCTTCCACTCGGGCATCTTCCCTTATGGAGAAGGAGGTTCAGTATTAGAATAACTGGTTTAAGAACAAGGATTTGGGGCTCGATAGATGGCTCCATGGTTAAGAGCAGAGGGCTTGTATTCAGTTTCCAGCACCACCCACATGACCGCTCATAATTATCTCTGACTCCAGGGTATCCAAAGAGCTTTTATGGCCTCTGCAGGCACCAGCCATGCATGTGATGCACATACATACTCCTGACAAAAATCTCGTGCGTATAAATATAACTAAAGATCAAGGGTTTGGTTATACTGCAAAAACCCTTCCCAGAGGATTTCAGATCTCAGTGCAGACAGACTTCTCAGTGCAGGCAGAATTCTTGCCTAAGAAGAAGTCACCTTTATTTTGCCAAGGTCCCTTTGAAGAGACAGACTTTTTGAAACAGGGCCTCCTTCCATAGTTTCTGCCTCTATTCCTGCCCTTGATGTCCGTCAATAATGGGCTCTTTTTTTTTTTTTTAAAGCTACTTATTTCTTTTGTTTAATACCCCCTATCCCCCCCAACAAGGTTTTTCTGTAGACCAGGCTAGCCTTGAATGCAGAGATTGCCTACCTCCACCTCCTCTAAGTGCTGGGATCAAGGGTGTGCGCCACCACTGCCCCATAAATAATGGACTCTTTTGGGCACATGTAAACCAAATGATAAATCCTTTCCAATGTAATTGCTTTCAAAAGTGAACTAGGGCCCTTCCATGTGCTGGGACTGTAGGTTTTTACCATCCTGTTTAGCTCACGTTTTTTGGGGGGCGGTGGTTTGGAGTCAGGGTTTCTCTGTGGGTGTGGAGGCTGTCCTGGAACTAGCTCTTGTAGACCAGGCTGGTCTCAAACTCACAGAGATCTGTTTGACTCTGCCTCCGAGTGTTGGGATTAAAGGTGTGAGCCACCAATGCCTGACTAGCTCACAATTTTTGAATTTGAAAGTGTGTGTCCTGCCCCCCCCCCCCAACCCAAGCATGTGTCTCTCAGTTCTTTGCTAAGTCACTTCCTACTAACTCATAAGCTCCTAACGGCAGGGCCCCGTATTACACATCCCTTATCCCAGTGCTTGAGGTTCTAGAGCAGTGGTTTTCAACCTTCCTAGTGCTGTGACCCTTTAATACAGTTCCTTGTGTTGTGGTGACCCCAACCATAAAATTGCTTCCTTTGCTACTGTTATGAATCATAATGTAAATACCTGATATGCAGGATAAGAACTGCTATTCTAGAGCATCTCTCCGTGTATCCCAGGACACTTGCAGTGAGCTAGGGGTGAGGGACTCTAGAGCACTTGGCACAGAGGGGTCTGTAGAGCCCACAGCTCTTCTGTTGATTTACCAAGCTATCGCTCACTTTTTTTTTACTGTTAATAAGGACGGAATGAGAAGGACTCCAGACATGCACGGGTAAACATGGAGTAGTCACTTAAAGGGCAGAGCAAAGGCCCTCTGCAAAACAGGATTCACTGTGGTTCCCAAGGATTCTGGGCTGGTGTGAACTCTCACTAGGTAAAGCTGGGGGAATGCCACCTGCCTCCAGCCATGGCTGGTCCCTGTGGCTCATGACCAGGAGCGGCCCACAGTTGGGATGGTCAGAAGTAACCATAGACTTGAGAGGTGCGGGAGAGACCCCTACAAGGTGTCAGCCAGTAGGGGCAGATGTTGGCTGTTGCCTTGCAGAACTGTCCAATTATTTCCATCAGGCAGAAGTCCTGTTCTTCCTGAGGATGTGGCAGTACACCGTGGCTCTGCACCTCCCTGTGACTGCATGCCAAGTTAGAAAAACAGATGTACCCTGCTTCCATTGCCCTCCTCTGCCCTGGCTGTTGCTGTGGCATTCTGCTCTAGCTGCCCTCCTTGGGCCTGTGGCATGGTTGGGAGGACCAGGTGCCAAAGACCAGTGGCCAGAAGGAGCTTAGCTACTTCTCACTGTTGCACAAATCCTTGAGCATCTGAGAGACAGACCTGTTGGTGTTGTGGTTAGTGGTGCAATGTGGTGGTAGTTCAGCTTTCTACCCAGAGTGGCTGTTTGGACTGGGCAAGAGCATGTTTTCTAGGTTGGGTTAAAGGGCACGTGCTGATAGGCGTGCGAGAATGAGGAAGAAAATTCCTGTAAGCTGTGAAGCCATTCTCAAGGGAGAGAGGCAAGCACCTGGTGTTAGCATAGCCTTCATTTTACTTTGCTGAGTAACCATACACTAGGCAGCTAGCATACTGCCACCAGAACATTCAGTATTCTCTCTCCCTTTCCCTGATGGTATCTGAGTCTAGGTCTTATTTCAGAGCCAGACTGGCCTGAAAGTCAAGCAGCTCCCCTGCCTCAGCTCCTCCCAAATGTTGATTACAGGGTCAACTTCCCTGTCCAGTTGGCTCTATTCATGGAAAAATTGTAAATGCTGCCACCTGTTGACCAAATGTGCACGTGCATCGAATCCACTTTCAGCATCCCTGCCCAAGTAGCATCTCCCTGTGTTCTGGGCACTTCAGAAGTAGGCACTACCAGGTCTCTTAGGATCTTTCAGCAGCCGAGTTTCATGGGATAAATACCACACTGGGTTGGCAGTCCCTCTGAGGTCCCCATTGTGAGTAGTAGCCTGTTCAGTCAGGTTAATATTTTCTGTCTTGTCTCTTTCCCTCCTCCTCCCCATTTCTCAACTCCCCCATCACCCACTCACTTGTATGTGTCATGGGCATGTGCAAATGCAAGTTCTGGGTTTTGATTCCTGAGTCTTATAGCCTCTCTCTTGTTAAGTTGCTCTCCACACCCCCAGAAATGGCTACTCTTAAATATGGATTTTTCTTTTCTTTTCTTTTTTGAGATATGGTTTCTCTGTGTAACAGTCCTCACAGAGATCTACCTGCCTCTGCCTTCTGAGTGCTGGGATTAAAGGTATGCACCACCACCACCTGGCTGATAAGGATTTTTCTATTCAAAGATTTTCACAGATCATATTTTAACTTGAAATTTAGAAGCTCTTTTCACAAGCCAATATTCCTAACAATTCAGTCATTGTTCTGAGAACTTGAGTCTCATTTAGTTCCAAGGGTAAAGCTCTAGAAAGGAGATTGATTGGACCAATAGATATCAAATGCTAACTATATAGATCAGAGAAGCAAAATCCATATAGTTCTTTACTCTCCCTCCCCCATCCAAATGAATAGCTCATTCACATAGACATTCTTGATTGATAGGTCTTCACACTGTAGTCCTGTCAGCATGTTCATTTCAAAAATACATGTGCCACCAGTGGTTGAAGAGCCAGGCTCCCCCATGCTTTCCCTCACTGTGTTCTTGGCAGCTAGGACATTGGGAGTTACACCTGAATGGCTCGATGTGCTCAGACCAGCTTGAGACAGTGATGTAGATGAGTTTGCAGAAAACACAACCTACCACCCTTGGAATTCAGGCCTGAACCCTAAAGCAAGACTAAGAGTTGTAATTGAAAATCTTGAAAGTAGTTAAATGGCACTTTTCAAAGCCTTGCCTTTACGTCTAATCAAAGTGTCAGCCTGTTTTCCAGTGCCTGTGACAGTAGCCTAGGAGGCTCAGACTATTTCCAGGGCCTTTGGTCTAGGATATACCACACCTATCCTGCTGAGTCTGTTCAAGGCCTGTCACTTCTAACCCCCCTGCATTTCTTGAGCTCCTCATACCTTATTAAGGGGGGAAAAATTGGCAGTGCTCACGAGCCCAGATTTATATTTTGCTATTCTTCTGCATTTAGAAAAGTGGGCAGACCTGTAATTTTTGCAGCGACCAAATTGTTTTGAAAGGACTAGCCACTTTTGAAATCAGGCTTAACTAAAGATAGTCTCCCTGTATATCCCTCACTGGCCTGGAACTTGCTATGTAGACCATACTAGCCTCAAAGATCACCTCTACTTACCCCAGTGTTGGGGTTAAAGGTTCGTTCCACTACATTTAGTCAGGCTTAGGTATTTTAGGTAATTTTTTTTTTCTTTTTGAGAGAGGGTCTCACTTATTTCTCAAGCTGGCCTAGAATTCATAGCTCTTAGTATAGCCTCCCAAATGTTGGAACCTTTTCCTGGCACATTTCAAGTGTACCATGTGGAATTGCTAAGTACAGAAAAGAAAGTACAGGTGAATATCTAGGTAAAGGCGCCTATTGATTCAGGATTTCAAGCCTATAGTTGCTTGTGGTAACCTGAGAATAAAAAGCTAAAAGGCCCCAGATAGGAGTCTGTACTCCATCTGTGGCAGAAGAGGAAATGGAGAAAGCACAGCTTGCCCAATAGCATATGGGGGTGGTTAAGGCAAAGCTCTTAGCCTCAGCTGGGCTAGTTGTTTTCAGTTCAGTGAAGTCTACTATCAGTCACATGACCCTTGGACCAAGCATATAAGCTGGGCTATAAAAGGGCATATTTACAGAGGTAGTTAAAATGCTTAGTTAACTTGTTTTGTATTATGTAGATTTTATTATTCCCCACACTCAGTGGACAGTGCCTTGCAATTAATTTTTGTTTGATTTGGCCTTTAGGCTTCCCGAGGACATTAGTACAGGCAGAAGCCTTGGACAGAATCTGTGATGTGGACCTAGTGATCAGTTTGAATATTCCCTTTGAGACACTTAAAGACCGTCTGAGCCGACGATGGATTCACCCTTCTAGCGGGAGGGTCTATAATCTGGACTTCAACCCACCTCAAGTACTGGTAAGATACACTGAGTGCTGGGTAGGGGACATGAGTATACTGTTCAGGAAACAAAACAATTCTATATGGCTAAGAAGCATAGAAAGAGCTTAAATTCAGTAGTCTTCAGAGGGGAGAGCTTGGACTATAAGGCTTACCAAGGCAGCATTGCTGGAGACCTGGGAAAGTAGTAGCACTCTTATTTTTGTTTCATGAATTTAATTAAACTATTGATGGCCTGTCCTCTCTCCCTACTCTTCTCTCTCCCTCCCACTCTCCCTTCATCCCTCCCTCCCCTCCCCCTTCCTCATCTTTTGAGAAAGGGATTCTCTGTGTAACAGTAACAGCCTTGACTGTCCTGGAACTCATTCTGTAGACCAGGCTGGCCTGGAACTCAGAGATCCTCCTGCCCCTGCCTACTGAGTGCTGGGATTAAAGATGTGCACTACCAGCTATTGATTATCATTGATTCATTGATTGAGACAGAGCCTCTTACATAGTTCTGGCTGTAGGCTGTAGTGGATCTTACTACATAGACATGGCCTTGAACTTGTCCAGTGCTGGTCAAGCCCTTTTAAAGCCAAGGTATATTTCTGAGGATGGCCTGACCAAGTGAAAATGATGTGTTTATGGAAGTGGCCAAAAAGCAAATAAGAAGGATTGTTCATCTAAAGGACTGTTTAAATAAACTGGACAGTATCTGCATGGTCTTAGGTTACAGAATTGGTAAAAAGAATGAATATGCCCTTCAGTGTTGGGGGTCAGAATCCCTGAGCCTTGTGTATACTTATCAAGAACCCTACCACAGAGTTTACGCCTCCATTTCCCTCCACCCCCATAAGTAGCCCAGGTTACTGCCTCTAACTGAAAGTTTTCTAGCCTTGGTCTTCCAAATGCCTGAGAGATTATGGGTTGTGCACTCCATGCCTGGTTCAGACTACTTGTGATTATCTTTCTCTGACTCCTTGATAATGACTGATTGAACTAATGCACGAACTTGTCTGTTATTTCTGGAGTGGAATAGGTAGCATGGTATCAAATCTTTACAAATAAAAAGCCTTGTATGTAGATGGAAGCAGTAAAAAATTACAGTGGTATCACCATTACTGGTTGCCACTGTGCCAATAATGCTCTTTATGATGCCAGTTCATTTGTGATAAGCATTAGTTCCCTCCTCCCTTTTTGTTGTTATTTCCCCATCCTAATCTTCGTTCATTTCATAGACCCAGTTTCATTGGGTTGACTAGATGGGTTCTAACCTTCTGAGTGGCTGGGTGGACAGTATGTCACTGAAGTGTGACAGGAAGATAAAGTGGGAGAGAAGAAAGGAGTTTGAGAACACAGACAGAAAAACAGAAGCCCATCTCAAAGGCTCCTGTTCTGGCCTCATTAAGACTTGCTCATCTTTTCTTATAATATCTGAAAAGCTTTACTTGCTAGCTTGTTACTTTCCAAAGCCCAACTCTACCTGAAAGAACCCCCAATGACAATGAATGCTGTTTTCAGAGACAGCCGTGGAAGTGAAAGGCCAGCTCCACCAGCCACTGGTGTCTCCCCATGATAGAGTGAGGTTGCTGCCCAGGTATCTTTCTGCTGTGTTTGCTGGCACTCTCAAATGAGTTCTAAGCATTGTGGCCATCAGTAAAACATTGATTGATCATGGCCTCTCCTCTTCTGCCATGCTGACACCCTACCTAATGGTGTGTCTTGTCCTGAGTCATCAGTGTAAATTGTATACCCAAGGCCCCCAGCTGCAGCAGGATTTTAAAGCCATGTGCAGCTTCTAATGGTCTGAGTTGCCTGAGTCCTATGGTTTCTCCCCAGCCTGTCTTTGACAGATTCACTCTGCAGCTTTCCCCAGGAAGAACAGTATGGGCCTGGGAGCAGAATTCTGATGCTCCTGCTGTGCCCTGTGTAGAGAGCTATGCTTTCTAGAGGACTCAAAGTTCCAAAATGGAAATTTGTTGGTTTGTGTAGCCCTGGCTGGTCTGGAACTAACTCTGTAGATCAGTTTAGCCTTGAACTCGCAGACAGAGACAAATCCACCTGCCTCTGCTGGCATTCAAGGCATGTGCAACCAGAGCCACTGAAATTTTTAGATATTTAAATTTCTCATTTCTTTGAATGCTTGTCTCTGGTCCGGGGAATTTGAATGGTGCCTATTTGATATACCTTAGGGCATGTCATTAATTTCAGAGACTGCTCCATAGCAGTGTGAAAGCTAGCAGAGATGGTATTGAACAGATTTTTAAAATGTTTTTGCCCTTTTATAACATTTATATCCATGTACATATGGATGTTTACTTATGTGGGTGCCATGGCACAAGTGTGGAGGACTAAGGTTAATTTGCAGGAGTCTCCTACCTTGTGGGTTTAGGATCATCAGGTTTCGCAATGAGAGCCTTCACCTGTGAGCCACCTTGCTGGCTCCCCAGTTCGATTCTTTAAGTCAGTTTGTTTTCCATAAGAGGGCCAGAATTTAGAAAACAAAGCAGTTTGGGAGACATTTAGTGGTCCCAGCATGGCATTGCGTAGGTATGTTGTTTAGGGAGGATTCCCAGAATTAGGCAGAATTGAAAGTCCCACTTAGCAGTAGCACTGGGACATGTTTGTAAAGATGTGTGAGTAGTTAAGGAAGATTTAGTGCCCTTCTCGGGACATGAGGTCAGCATGATGAAGCCCCAGGCCTGTTGGACTGTGGGTGGAGTTCACTTTGATCACTTGGTTTTGTTTGTATAAGGAAGTTCTGACTTTGGAAAATGCCCAGTGGTTGCCCTTGCTAACCGGCTCCTCTGGTGTTTCAGGGGGTTGATGACATTACTGGTGAGCCACTTGTCCAACAGGAAGATGATAAACCTGAAGCAGTTGCTGCCAAGCTACGGCAGTACAAGGATGCAGCAAAACCAGTCATCGAACTATACAAGTGAGTGTGTGTCTAGTGTGTTCATGGTGAGCTCCTACCAGAAAGTAGGGCCTGACTGGACATCCAGACTGGATGTCCACCAGCGTTGAGCCTACACTCTCATGGGTTGACAGCCATATGCTGCTATCCTATCCTTTTTGCATGCAAAGTAGGGCCTCAGAAACACTGGGCTGAGCTAGGTAATGCTTCTAGCTAAACACGTCTGAAGGCCCACACCTCCCAGAAGGTGGGTCGAGTGGTGGAGTGTGGTGTATGTATGGGAGGTAAGGTCCAGTTTGTTTATTCAGGAACTATTAGAACATAAAGACTCGAACCCAGGTATCTCTGTTTATAGTATGTTTGAACTTCTCATTTTGGGAGTTGGGGTGGGGTTGGGTAGGTTTTGGTAGTTGAAGTTGAGGCTTCATGCATGTTATGCAGGTGTAAATAAGTGATTCAGGTATGGTAGGGCTGGCTGTAAAACTATAAACAGGCCAGTGGATAGTGCCTGCTTTTAACCTGGAATCTTTGCCTGACCTGAGATGTTAAACAACCTAAATGACATTTATTTGGATTGTCTTTTCAGGAGCCGAGGGGTGCTCCACCAGTTCTCTGGGACGGAGACTAACAAAATATGGCCTTATGTTTACACACTTTTCTCAAACAAGATCACACCTATTCGATCCCAAGAAGCATACTGAGCCTGCCATCGGAAGAACCAAGAAGACATTGTCGTTCACTCAATCATGCGTTTCGTCCTGGTGCCCTGGCCAAATTAGAAGCTAGCTGAGATAGCTTGCAGCATCTTTACTAGTTTAAGTGATGAAGTAATGAGGAAAATCTAGTGGGTAGAAAGAATTCACGAAGAAGAAATGCTCCTCCTGCCTTTGAAAAGAAGCTGTAGCTCTCCCGGTGGGAGAGCAAGTCCAGACTGGATGTCCACCAGCGTTGAGCCTACACTCTCATGGGTTGACAGCCATATGCTGCTATCCTATCCTTTTTGCATGCAAAGGTGGTGTAATCCCTGGTTCATGCCACCTTCCACAGGCTGTTGAACCACAGCACTGTGATTGTAAGAACTTGAAGGGCTGTGGTTCCAGCTTGCCCCCTGCCATATCCTCTTGATGATAATTGAATTGATGCTAATTGCACTCAGCGACTGTTTCTCCCTCCCGTCTTAGACATCCTAGTTTCTGCTGACTGTGTCTTCTCTCATCTGCTTGCTCCCTTCATATGCTACTCAGTAACACGCTAGTTTCTGCATTTTTCCCTCTAACTTCCTTCTACAAGCTGAGAACCAGGGGAACTGGATTCAGTCCCTTCGTACTGGGAACTGAGCCAGGCTGCTCTGCCTGTCTTGAACCCACTCTGTACCTTTCATTGTTTAAAAAAGATTCCCCGAAGTCTCTGGGAGTTCTCAAAAGAAATGTTGGATGATCACATCTTCTGCATAGAAGTAATTATATGGAAATCACTGGACCAATGAGATGGGTTAGGCTTCTTTACTCAAGGCAAGATGAGTATTGAACTTGCTGCTAAATATTAATGCTGACAGTGTTGTCCTTCTGTGAGTGATCCAAGCCAGATGGTATGAAGTCAGTAAAGGGAACAAGCCTGTGGGCTTGGAGCATCTTGCACTAGATGTACATTGCACCTGCACTGAGTAAGACAGCTTTACCATCGTGGGAACTCAGAATCTTGTTGTTTTCTTCCTATTCCAAAGATGCAGTCTATAGGTGGCCACAAAGTCCAGAAATGAAGATGCTAATATTTTGTCAATCATCACATGTCAATAAAGCATTTGTTAAAAGACTTCCTTGGTTTCCAGACTTGTTGGCCACCTTGTATAATTCTTACTCTTCTCTGGAAGAATGGTGAGATTTCTTCCCGCTGCCTTAAAAAGGTGTCCTGCACCCACCTGTCCCCAGGGAGTGTCCTTTATTACTGGTGGTTTAGTGTGATTACTCATAGTCTGTGTGGGGGCGGAATGTGGGGCAGACTTAGCACTTTAGTGGTATTGGAACATGTTATCACATTCTGAAGGTGTCCTGTGAATCCCCAGTCCACTCACTGCCATATATTCTGTGTGCTAATGAGTCTGTCTTCCTTATTGTACTGCTCGGACTCTTGTGTGGTTCCTCTCAATTGTCCTTCCACGTGCATGTTCTTTGGCTGCCTTAGTGGAAATGTAGATCAGCTTCCCTCCTCATACTCTCAATATAGAGAAATCAGATGGTTCACTTGGTAAGCTTCTGAAGTGTAGGTGCCTGATGGGTCTGTGACCATCCAGGCATTGTCATATTGATGCTAACTACTTTGGAAGCTTGTACTTGGTGTAGGGGCCAGGTCAAACAGATAAAGCCCAGGCTTCCTGGGGAACACAGGTGTGGGGAACTGTAGAGTTTAGAGGAGGATCACCCTGAGATTATTACCACAAAGCAACGGAAGTAGAGAATTAAAGGAATTTGGGGTAACTCGAGAGGGAGGGGGGATATCTTCCAACTTCTTTCTTCGCCTCTTGTAGAGACTGGGGAGAGCAATGGGTGTGACCAGGTCTTTGCCTGCACACCCTGTTTCTCCACCTTTTTCTCTGCATTTCAAGTTCCATAGGCTATGGTAGCTAGCACTGGGACAAAGGGCCAGGAGTGTCTGCCTGCTGTTGAGACCAGCAAGGGGCAAAAGACATCTTTTCCAAGGTCTTTGCTGATTTTCACGTCCATTGGCCTAAAAAACATCTGGTTTTCTGCACCAGACTCAGCTGCTCCCTTTTTAATGATTTTGTAGAAAGAGTGTAAATACTGAAAATATCTTGACAAAGGTGAAAGAGCGTCTTTTCCTTCCCATGCCATGCATGCCTTCCCTTCAGATGGAAGCTAAGAGTGTGGGTGATTTCTGAGAATCTAGTCTGACCTTAATTCACAGGCTCCATCCGGCTCTTAAGTTTGCTTTCCACAATCCTTTGCTTAGAGCTTGAAAAACCCTGCACTTCAGTATTATGACAAAAAGGTGCTATGAAGGCTTTCTGAGTGGATTGTGCACTCTCTGGACCTCTGCAAGCATCTTGGTGAATCTTCCTCGCACCCCATGAGGTAGACAAAACCAGTCTTTCCTATTAAGCAAGGAGTACAGGTTATGTAGTTTTGCCCAGGCTCTTGATACAAGTAAACAGTGCAGCAATGACTCAGGTTTTCCTGTATCGGAAACCATGGCCTTTATTGGGTGTTAGCTGTCTGCTTGCCCTAAGCAACCCAGGGCCATGAGCCTGCTTAGTTCTGCTTGTGGGCTCAGGAAGAGTGGCAGACATCATTGGAGACTTTACTTACTCTTTGTTTAAGCAAAGAAAGTTGCTAGAAGAGTCCTCTAAATACAAGGCTTTTGAGGTAGGCTGGGTTTGGATACAGATGATTGACCTCAATTCTGGGTGTCAGGAAGCCATGAAGCCATATGAAGAAAACCTGCATTTATTAAAACATGAAAGTTAACCATAAATGCCATCCCTTATTTTTGGTGTGGCAAACTGCACAATTCTTGCCAGAATAAACGCCATCACCTGGACCTTGGCGCTTCTTGGTGTGGCATTCTGTATGTGGTTGGGTATGAAGGAAGACAGGCAAAGGTTCATGTGTGACATTCATATGGACTCTATAGTGACAGGCAACTATAGCAAGCACAGCATCTTTAATAAAAAAAAAGGTTCTTGTTTAAAACCTTTGGAAGGATCATCACCTCTCTGGGATTAGGGAAAAGGGAAGGAAATGGAAAGCTTGGTCTTTGTGTAAAGTGCAAGCAATGTTAGGGCTCAAAGCTTTTCTAGTTTTATGAGAATTTGTACTACTGAGTTTATTGATTTTTTTTGTTTGTTTTTGAGATGAATAGATCTATGGGGGAGTATGTTGAGCTATGATAGTGTTTCACTGTGATCCCTCAAAGTTTAAGGCAGTCTTCTAACCCCGTGCCACCTGTCTTCAGTTCACTGACCTGTGAAAAATGGTGGCTTACGTTTCCCAGGAGCCAACAGGTCAGCTTTTCTTCAGTGTGACAGTTGGTGTTCTTCTTGATTTGGGCATATATGCTTAATTCAAAGTATCTGAGTGTGTTCTGTATATGCTATCCTAACTATTCATTGTATTAATTGATTTTTTTGTTACCTTGCTTGAAGATTGATTTGTATTCAATTTGATAGAAATAAACGGTTTTCTGCTTAATATGTAATCGGGTCATTTAGTGCTTGTGGCTATTTATCCACTAAAGTTTTCAGGTTGCTTGTTCATGCCACACAATGGCTTTTCCATTATCCACACTTGTCCCTCATTTGCAAATGAGGCAAACAATGAATGTAACCTAAACAAATTAGTGGTGGCAAGCAACACTTCCTGCTCCTGTTGTTTTCCTGCCGTTGCCTTGTCTGTGTACCCTTGTGTTCCTTGTTTGCCCTGACCTTTACCAATTAGTTTTATTTCTACAGAAGCTGGATTCACTGAAATGAGGGTAGACAAATCGTGCCACTTCAGAGCTCACAATGGGAGAGTCAAATCCTAGTGAGGTGAACAATGCCGTAGGACACTTACGTTTCTGTTTTTTTCAAATCAGGGCTTCTCTGTGTAGCTTTGGAGCCTGTCCTGGAACTTGCTCTGATGACCAGGCTGACCTTCAACTCACAGAGATCTGCCTGCCTCTGCCTCCTGAGTGCTGTGATTAACGGTGTGGGCTACCACTGCCCGGTGCCATAGGACTCTTAAAGGAAAAAACTTAGAGCAAAGATGCACCTGATCCATAGTGGGCCAGTAGGAGTAGAAAATGAAATTGGTTTTTTAAAAGCTTTAGAGACTTAGGTTTAATTTAACTTTGAAAATATTTGTTGTATTGCAGTGATGTCAGAGGACAACTTGTGGGGAACTTAGTTCTCTCTTACAATGTGGGTCCTAGGGATCAAATGTGAGCTATCAGCACTCTTGCGTGCTGAGCCATCCTGCTGGCTCTGGGGTGAGTTCATTACTGCAGGATGACACAACCTAAATAGACCAAGGGAGCTGGACCTAGGAGTGCAACTTGTCATCCAGTTATTATTGATTCTCTTGCCAAACTTCATTAGGCTCTAAGGGTATAAATGTAGATAGATTTTTGTCCTTGACTTCCTCAGTTGTCTGGAGATCATGGGTGATTATACTACTAGAATGGACCCATTCATTGAAGCTAGAGCAGCCACTGTCTTCAGGGATTGTCTATATATACCGACAGTCTAGATCCATTGATTAAATATTCCCTTTCAGATGACTCCACATAGTGACAACATGACAAAATTTAAACTTCCCCCTTTATTTTCACATTTACTTGTTTGAATCTTTTTCTGTACACACACACACACACACACACACACACACACACACACACACACACACATCATTATATGCATTGTGTGTGGAGTTGGTCTTTCCCTTCTACCATGTGGGTTTCCAAGGATCAAACTCACTTGGTAGCAAGCACCTGTACCCTCTGAGCTATCTCACTGACCCTCTGTCATATCTGTAGAAATAAATCTTTATTATGAAGCCTATAAACCAGGCCTATTGTGTAATTTCCATATGAAAGTCTTGCCTAACAATTTATCAATATTGGTACTGACAAGTTTTGGCAAGAAAATGAGGACTTTGAAAATAATGACTACTTAAATCTGAGTCCATATTTTTTTTTTTTTTTGAAAAATGAAGCCAACAAAAGCAGGATAAAGTTGTATTTAACTCATATATAGTCAGGCACAATATTGCAAACCTCTATTTCATTTGGATGGGGAATAAATATCTGAGATCAGTACCAGCTCTAAAGCCCTTATTGAAACGAGTTAGACAGGATTTATATGAGATGAGAAAAACCCATAGAAACAAAGACCCTATGAAATCTAAGACACCAAACTCTCCCTAACATTGTGCCAAAAGATACTCTTCATTAAGAAATGTATTTCAGGGAGCTGGGGGTGTAACTTTCTTTGTAGATGTTCCCATATTCAAGAACCCAGTACCACATAGTTGGATTGGTGGTGTCTGAAGTTAATAAACAGTAACATAAAAAAAAAAATGTATCCCAGTGCACTAACAGAAGAGGGTGCTGTTGAGTAAGACTCCATCCTTACTGTGGAAACACCAGGTTCAGGAAAATCCAACATCTTGAATAAGCAGAAAAACATTCATACTAAAGTTATGTGTGTGTAGGTGACACTACTCAAGTGTAGAAGTCTGAAGACAATCTGCAAGGTTGTCTTATCCTATTATCTTATTCTAGCATGTAGGTGCTTGAAATCAAACTTGGGCCTGGGAGCAAGTGTCTTTAGCCCCAAGCCATCTTTCCAACACTCTACAAAGTTATTTTTAAGAGGAAATAAATTGGAAAGTTAAATTCTATAGCTTGTAAAGAACATTCAAGACCCAACTTCAGAGCAGAGGCAATTGTAGTCCACCACTCTAACAGTGAATCAAACAACCAGGGAAGCAACAACAGACAGGAAAAACACCACAGATCAGAAATGCAGTCCCAACCAGGACACAACAAAGGAGCTGCAAGTAAGAGTTGATAGAGAAAGACAAGGGACCTCAGAAGTGACTTGCAAGGTATACAAGAGAGTCCAAATTCAGCAGGGCATACAAAGAAGACATGGACATGGAGAATAAAAACTCATAGGATTAAAACAAAATTATTAAAAAGGTGAAATGTTCTGAAAGAAAACAGCTATAGGGCATGGAGAAGACCCAACACACTTAAAAGTGAATTCCCTAGAAGAAGAAAACAAAACCAGCATTCAAATTCATAATGTAGTATAGCTTATAAAAATAGGTTTAAAAGCTGGGTGCTGGTGGCACACACCTTTAATCCCAGCATTTGGGAGGCAGAGACAGGTAGGTGGCTCTCTGTGAGTTCCAGGCCAGCCTGGTCTACAGAGCAAGTGCCAGGATAGGCTCCAAAGCTACACAGAGAAGCCCTGTCTCGAAAAACAAAAAACAAAACAAAACAAACAGAAAGTCCAAGCTTCTGTGCAGAAAGTCCAAGCAATTCACACACAGGCACAACAGCAATAGAATAATATGAAGAACAGAAACATCCAGCTTGCTGATCTTCAGTAGACAGGGTTATGGATAAGTAACAAATAAGCAACAGAGTCCTCGCTTAGGACAAGCATCACCAAAACTGGGAGATGAATTCAGGGAGTGCAGCAAGAACTCTGGTGTATATACAGTTTATTTAGTTGAGGAGACTAAAATGAAAGAGTCATAGAGGAGTAGAAATGGTGTTGTGCAAAAGAAAAACACAAAAGAAGCAAACAGGAGAGCATGCTAAGTGACTCAATTGCTAGCTATAGGAAATAGGTGGAAATGGAAGGGTTTTGTTTAAAGCAACAACTCAGCTAGTTCAAGCCAAAGTAAAAACAAGAGAATTGGCTCCCTTCGTGCCAGAATGATTTGTGGGCAAGGGAAATGGTTACTGGGAGGGATCCCAGAAAAGACAAAACTGCCGGTGTGGAAGCAAAGGAAAGGAAGATCAGTCATCACGGTAGAGTTGAGACTTTAAAGATGAGGATTTTGCTGTTGATTACAGAATTTCTCAGTGGCCAGTAGAGGGATGGATAAAACAGCTCTTTGTTCCTCCTAAGAACAGCTCCTCAGTGTGATGAAGATGGTGTTGGCTCTGAGCAGGTGACCTCAGGTCCAGAAGCTGTGTGAGAGCCAAAAGCAGAAATAGATGCAACTAGCAAACCATTTGCCAAGGTGTGACTCACTTGTGGGGAGCTACTCCCCACATCTAAAGTTCAGAAAAGACAAGATGTAAACAGTTGCACTCTTTATCATCATTGGTGATTCAGATAGGCCAAGTGATACTTAGTGTTCTAATTCTGAAGAGAGATTTTAACAAAAGGGCAAGGGGCAGGAAAAGTTCCTGAAACTATAAAAAATAAATCCCCAAACAACATTTAGTAAAGTAGAGCCTAAAAATCCTGAAGAACAGCCCCTGTCTGTCTGTTGTTCATGTGGAAGAGACCCCTTCTAGTACCAGAGAAAAGGCTTCCTAAAGCAAATGGCAAAGAAAGAAAAAAATGGGGTGGGGTATGGTGACTCCCAGCCACTTTCTACAGAGAAGACTCTTAGTTACTGGGTCTCACGGCAATAGTAAAGGAAGAGGACATAATTGAACTCCTAAATGCAGATCAAGGAACTGTTTCAGACATAGTAAAAATCCTCAGCATTAGAAGCAAGAGACTCAGAGTTCAGAGAATGAGGTGTCAAGAGGCAAAGGATGGATCGAAGGGATGAGAGTATGGGAATCAAATCAAATCAAATCAAACTTCTCCTCCTCCTCTTCCTCCTCTTCTTCCTCCTACTATAACTGGGTTTCGTTTGATTTGGACACGTGTCTGATAACAGACACACCTGAGAGTCCAGACAGAAAAGAGAAAAGGAAGAGAAGGTTAAAACCATATCTGAGTGCAAAGAGAAAGACTTTAGAAAGGAACTCAGAGAAAGATGATAAATACAATAAAAACAAAGTGAGGAAAGAAGGCAAATCAAAAGAGAAAGAGATGAGGCCAACAAGAAAAGAAGGGGGTCACAAGAACGTTAGAAAAGTTTGCTTCTAAAGAAAGGAAAAGATCAGGGAAGGGTCAGAAGTCAAGAGAAGATGAACAGAATCCAAAAGTAGTGAGCATGAGCCCAGTCCATGCTACAGCAAAGGGTAGCTGTAGAGATCACGGTCCAGCCCAAGAAAAGGGTAGCCCATAGCAACCATGGTCCAGCCAGAGCAAAGGGTAACTGTAGAGACCATGGTCCAGCCAAAGCAAACACAGTAGAGCAAGGGCCCACTGAAGGAGTAGGCAGGAGCGTGTGATCTAGGAATCATGAAAGAGATCTCAGCAGAAGCAAGGAGTACTGTAGGTAGAGGGCAGTACAAGAGGAGGGTCACAAAGCTGAACAAGAATACAGGAAAATGGAGAAGGCGGGAGAGATTCAGAGTAAAAAGGCCAAGTAGAAACAGAGAGAGAGAGAAAGGAAAGGAACCAAGAAAACAAGGATTTACAAAGAAATGAAAATTCTGAAGGTGAAAAGAAAATGCCTTATAAAGACCCTGATCATGATAGCTCAAATAGTAATAGGGGAAAAAAGACTAATAGAAATCAAAGTCAAGTATTATGTTGTTTACTTTCCTGTTGTTATGCTAGATCCCCTG